TATATATATATTTATTTATTTATTTGTATGTCCACACTTACATTTCTTCTATACACGTTGTATTGGAGAAATAACAAGCGCTTAGCAACCACCCGCCCACGCTCCTTTACGGGGTGGGTGTGGCCACGGCAAACAAAATGGCGGCTTACACATGGGACAAAGTTAAGAGCTTTCTAACAGCAAGAGAGCATAGAGATACTGTCTAAAGACTTCTCTAGAAGCATTATAAGGTAGAGAAAACCTCTATAAGTCTTAATAATGACAAATTTATACTTGCAAGGTGGTGAAATCAATTATAGGAATATTTTTTACACTGTTACGCTTGTTTGATAATACGATCAAACTAATATCAACTATTTTGCTCCACCCAATGCATTCCATTCACACTAATTATTATTATTGATATTTTTAGGACAATGGATATCACCGACTGTCACTGGAGACAGACCACCTCCTATTCATCAATTCACTTTAACATCAATTAATAATTCCAGTGCTATATTATTTGGAGGTAACACTGCTAATGGAAGTAGTAACAATGTATATATTCTTAATTTTACTGATACATCAGTGGTGAGTGTATTATTAGTATAATTACATTAATTATTAATTAATAATGTATTGTATGTGTGTATTATTATTCATAACACTGAGTGTGTGGGTGTGGTTTATGATAATTAAATTTTGTTTTATTATTTTAGAATTGTTCAAAATTATCTATTCCTAGAGGATCAGTGCAATGGCCTAAGGAAAGACGTGGTCATTCCAGTGTGTTGATTAACACTAGCTCAGGACCACACCTACTAGTGGTGGGTGGTACTACTAGAGATAGTTGGATATTTGATATTAACAATAAATTATGGAAGAAACTGGTGAGTAAAGCATTATATTGTGGGTGTGGTTTAAACATTTTGGGTGGAGTTTATGATTTTGTATACCATATAGCGCTTTAATTTGGCGGAGTTTTATTTTGGCGATTGGTAGTTTGCAAGCAGAATCACCAATATTTAAAACCGCCAATCATTAATGCGCATGCTCAGTAATGCACATGTACACAAAAATTGCCAAATTAAAAACCACCAATTACAATTTTATAGCAAAATCACCAAAATAAAGCACCGCCAAAATAAAGCGCTATATGGTAAACTATTGAGGAAGGAGTCAAATTTCAATAACAATACAGTACATGACAATGAATATTACAAATTTATTTACCTTAAGCCTACTATTATTTGCGTCTACTAATTTTAGCGAAATCAGCAAAATTCATGGGTTTAGCGTTACTAATTTTAGCGTTTTTAACCAAATTAACTATCAATAATAACCATTGTAATGAATAATAATTGTTTTGGCGTCTATTTAATTTAGCGATTTAAATCTCTCTCACTAATATAGCTAAATTTAGTAGACGCTAAAAATAGTAGGCTTAAGGTATTCTAATCCTCCTTTATGTATAGGTTAATTTACCAGTCAATGTCACTAATAGATGTTGGCATTCTCTCTCAGCCTGGAGTGTGACTCCAACCACTAACTGGATAATTGTGTTTGGAGGAATCACGTCATACACTGATACAGCAGTTATTGAACTCAGTGAGTACATGTAAATACAAATGTATTGAATATACACAATTTGTACATATTGAATATAATAATTATAAATTAACAGCTACTATAGCCTTTTAATACAGTATATTAATTCACCAGATTTGCTTTATAGTAATTAAAAATACAAGTACATCAGTGATTTACAGTTTACACTATACAGTAGTGACTGATAGTATATCAAAGATGTATGTAT